CTAGACTTCACAATTAAGGATAAGATTATTGATTACACTTAATTAGGCATTTTGTTGTACTCTAGGGCCTGTTTTGGATTCCTTTATTTTTCCAGGTTTCTTAAAAACACACACACTCTCTCTCTCTCTCCCTCTTTCTCTCTCTCTCTCTCTCTCTCTCTCTCTCCCTCCCTCCCTCCCTCCCTCCCTCTCCCTCTCTCAATGCTTTCCCATGTCTGGTTTCCTATTCTGCAGTGCAGTTTTGATGTCTGCCTCTTTCAAGCATGGAGACAAATTATGCATTTTATTTTATTATTATTTACTTTATTCATTAAACATGAAACTCAGTCAACTGAACATTCTAAAATGCATTACAAATACCATTGACTGGTGCTAATGGTTGATACGGGTTGCTGCCAGCGTCCTAGGTATCAACCAAGTACCTTCTTAAGATGTACGATGTTCCAAGTAGCGCAATTTTTTGCAGTTCCACTGGTGTTATTGCAGGAAGCTGCAATTTGTTGATGTATCTTATAAATTCTTGGACATGGTACCAAGTGTCCTGATGACAATGGGTATCACGGTTACATGTTTCATCCATTGCCGTGTAGTTTTGATGGTCAGGTTGCGATATTTCATGATTTTTTTCAGTTCTTTTTCTTCGACTCTGGCATCTCCTGGTACCGTGATGTCAATAAATTGTATGTTTCAGTTTTCAACAACTGTGATATCTGGCGTGTTGTGTTCCAAGTGACTATCTGTCTGTATTCAAAAGTCCCACAAGATCTTCACCTTCCCATTTTCTATAACTTTTTCCACTTTATGTTCCCATGACTTTTTGGATACAGGTAAATCATATTTTTTACATAATGACTAGAGGATTAATTTAGCAACTCGGTCGCGTCTAGCTTTGTAATCCGTTTGTGCAATTTTGCTGCATTCACATATTAAATGTAAAACAGTTTCGACTTTGTTGTTGCAAAGTCGGCAGTTTGGATTGTCGGTCGATTTTTGTATCTTTGCTTTCGTGACATTAGTTTGTAGTGCTTGTTCTTGAGCAGCGAGTATTAAACCTTCCGTTTATTTCTTGATGGTTCCCATCTTAAGCCATGCCCATGTGAAGTTGTCATCACATTTTCCTTCAATGTTTTTCAAGTGCTGTCCATGCAAAGCTTTGGTTTTCCATTTATTTAATCTGTCATCCAGCTGTTTTTCCTTATATTCTGCCTTTGTTTCTGTTGTTTTTATAATGTTCTCCGTTTTCACAGCCTGCAGCAATTTTTCTGTACTTTGGTTCACATAATCATTCAAACTTCGTTCAGTGGTGATGATGATGATGATGACGATGATGGCTGTGAATGGTGTTTTTTCAAACGTGTGGCTTGCAAAGAAATAACACTGCAGGAATCTTGCTGTAGAAGAGGATGACTTTCCCCTTCAAGGGTTCCTTGTTTTAAATATATGAATATTGGACACACCTGAAATTAAAGGAGGAAAAAGAAGCCAGTAAAAAGAAACAATCAACTAAACCAAGGATGGGGGGGGGGGAGAGAACTTGATTAAGGGTACCATTTCCTCCCAGGCTGAGGATTATATTTTGTGAGCTATGGTTCACAAAGTAGTGGGTGGAAACCAAGCCAAAATATAAATCTGGCTTAATTTCCATATACATTTCAAGTTGAAAATAATATGATTACTCTCCAGTCATGTCTGCTAAATTCTTCATTCTCTTATATCAGAGGTCTTCAAACTTGGTAGCTTTAAGACTTGTGGACTTCAACTCCCAGAATTCTCCAGCCAGCTGGCTGGAGAATTCTGGGAGTTGAAGTCCACAAGTCTTAAAGCTGCCAAGTTTGAAGACCTCTGTCTTATATGAAACTAATGACTTGATGATAGTTTGGAATCTCAACCTCTAAGAAGGACTGGATTTCATTAATGTTTGGTGGGAGACTCCCATAGGTTGTAAACAGTAGTGGGTTTCACTTACCTTCGCTACCGATTCGGAGCTGTGAGCGCGTGCGTGTGTGCGCTTGCTTCACTCGCGCACAGCACTTCTGTGCATACACAGACCATCTGTGATGACGGCCGGGACAGGGGGTGGAGCCTCCCGCCACCGCTACCGGTTCACCCAAACTAGTAGAAACCCACCACTGGTTGTAAACTAGATTGGGATGTTGAAAAAAAAAATGTCCTGGAAGAAAGCAGTGGTAAACTTCTACATTGCCTTTAACAAAATAATAACACAGGGATGTCCATCTAATCACTAGCAGTTCAACTGAACTTGAAGGAGGCTTTCTGAAGAGCTTTCTGAAGTCTCATATTGCCTTGGGGCACATTTTGAGTTTGCCCAAGATGGGAGACTTGTAGGCCTCCAGAAGTTGCTGAATTTTAGGTACTAACAACTTTAGTCAGCATAAAATCAATGGTGAATAATGCTGGCAGTCTCAGGCCCCAAGATAAAACTGTAGACTTGGAAAGGTTTTTAGTAGTCACATAGTCCAATTCTCTACTGAGTCCAGCATCCGCTCTGATAAATGACTATTCAGGCTCTATTGGAGCATCTCCAGTGAAGGAGAACTCAGAGCTTCTAAGTGACAGTCTGTTCCTGTTCTGCTGTCTAATAGTATGGTTGGGAAGTTGTTCCTTGTATCCAGCCTGAACCTCCTTCTTTAAATTGTTAAATCGTTGGTTCTGCTCTCTGAGGCATTAGAGAAAAGGGCAGTGGTGGGATTCAAATAATTTAACAACTGGTTCTCTGCCCTAATGACCGGCTGGGTGGGTGTGGCCATGGTGGGCGTGGTCAGAGGGTGTGACAGGCAGCACTCGGCCTCCTACACCCCCCTGGGAGCAAAAATGGGCCGCGGGGGGGTGCTGCCCTCCCGTACCCCATTTTGGGCCTGGTAGGCCTCCCTGCAGCCTCCTGGGAGCAAAAACAGGCCATGGGGGGTGCACCATGCTCCCCGCACCCTGTTTTGGGCCTAGTAGGCCTCCCTGCAGCCTCCTGGGAGCAAAAATGAGGCACAGGAGGGCCATGCTGCACCCCCCGCCCCCACCGTGCCCTGTTTTGGGCCTAATAGGTCTCCCTGCACTTACCTGGGAGCCAAAACAGGCGTGTGGGGACTCCTGGAAGAGGAAGCGAGGGGCCAGCCAGCAATTTAACAACTGGTTCGTCCGAACTAGCCCAAACCAGCTGAATCCCACCACTGGAATACGGCCACTACATCTACAATGTGATGGCCCTTCAGATATTTGAAGATTACTATCATATTCTCAGTCACCTCCTCTATAGGCTACAGATACTCCAATTTTCTAACCATTCCTCACAGGGCTTGGTTTCCAGACTCTCCGCATCTTATTAACCCTCTTGGTTTAGCATCTTATTCGTCCTCCATCTTACTTTACCTAGAACTAAGGAGAAATTTCCTAACGGTGAGAACAATTAATTAGTGGAATGACTTGTTTGCAGAAGTTGTGGATGTTCTAACACTGGAAGTTTTTAAGAAGAGTTCAGACAACCATTTGTCTGAAATGGTATAGGGTTTCCTGCCTGAGCAGGGGGTTGGAATAGAAGACCTCCAAGGTCCCTTCCAACTCTGTTATTCTGTTATTTCTCTAACCTCACTCCAGTATCATGAGGGTAGTGGTTAAGGCAGCAGGCTAGAAACTGAGATACTGTGATTTCTAGTCTCACTTTAGCTGTTTGGATGATCTTAAGCCAGTCATTCTTTCCACAGTCCTAGAAAGGAGGCAATGGCAAGCCACGTCTGAAATTTTGCAAGAAAATTCCAGTGATGTGGCCAGGCAAATGCCAGGAATCAATGCTGACTCAAAGAACAGTGTCCCCTCACAAAAAAACCCCACCTCATTTTAACTGATCACTATTATTTTAAATTGTGGTACCCAGAATTTGATGTAGTATTCCAGGTAGGTTCTGATACTGAATTATTATTCTCAGTATCCCCCATTATTAGCCTCGCTGGGAGATATTCTAAACACTGCTGATATTTGATTCCTTTGACTCTTGATGGATACCTGTCACAATCACTTGGATCATTTGAAGACACTGAATACAATGAACAGAAAATGAAGAGTTAAAAATGATCAAACCTACTTATTTCAACCATGGAAATCTGGATCAAAAATCCAAGAAAATAATATCAGGTCAGTTAGCTACTTGACTAGGTCCAGGTTTAAGGCTTAAGGTTAAAGTGGCTGTGGACTCGACAGCTGCATTTGTACAATTTAGTAAGTTGGCAGTTTTAATTTTTCTTTCGTTGTGGCTGCAGCTTAGCATCTCGTATAGCCCTTTGGTTAATTTAGGGATCAATGTATTATTTGAACCCAGAAAATGAGTCAATTGTATCATGTGAATGCAGTCAACAATGAGAAAAGTTTAATTGTTATGAGGAGCAATACAAATTCTTCACAGCCGTAAATATTCATAACTCAGTTTTCCATGTGTAGGTTCCTTGGGGAAGGGAGTTTCACACAGTTGGTATCATTGCAGAAATAAAATCAACAATGTCCAATTTAGTTCCTCCAACAGGAGCTAAATAGATCCTGCATACAGCTCCTGCATCTTTCAATACCATGTGGGAGGGGGGGAAATGTACATTTCCATTAGATATTTATTTATTTATTTATTTGTTTGTTTGTTTGTTTGTTTGTTTGTTTGTTCAATTTATATGCCGCCCTTCTCTGGAGACTCAGGGTGGCTTACAATGCATTAAGCAATAGCCTTCATACTTTTGTATATACCTGCTTAGTAGGGCTTTCGGCCCCCCCAAGTGGTGTTCTTTTTTATACAAAGTCAGCTTATTTCCCCCACAATCCGGGTCCTCATTTTACCTACCTCGAAAGGATGTTAGGTTTTTTTTGTTTGTCATATAGTATAAATACACGTAGAAGGTTCCAGTTCGGTCCAATGATTAAGGCACCAGGATAGAGATCAGCAGAGAGTGAGTTCTAATCCCACTGTAGCAATGGAAGTCAGCTGTGTGACTTTGGCTCAGTCACTCTCTCTCAGCCCAACTCACCTCACACGGTTGTTGTTGTGGAGAAAATAGGAGGAGGAATGTATCTTGGATATTTTCACAACCTTGAGTTATTTGTAAAAAATAATAAAGATGACATATAAACAAATAAAAATATTGTAGCTGTAAATAATATAAAAGATCAGAAATAGGTATCTATATACTATCAAAACTCTCATGTCTGTAACCTTTAACTGGGCAAAACAAGGCATCCGAGTTGCTTTGAACTGCAAGATGGGCTGTAACACCATCGGACATCCACATCTGTCCCAGGTCCTTGGAGAGAACTCGCTAGGTAGACAAAAATGCCAAATCCAGTCTGAACAGCTGGCTGACTGTGCGGTGAAACATGATAGTAATCATAGAGAACAATTTTTGAACCATGTTATCTCAAATGAGCTAAGTTATAGAACGAATCCAAAACCCAGGCCCTGTGGTGGGATTGAAATTTGTCAAATTTGTAATTGCTTCCGTGCATCTGCATTGCTGGGCTGCCTCATGGAGGTTCAGCAGTGGGGGCCCTGCCTAAGTTCTCTAGGAACTGGGTAGACCAGCCCCTCCTTCATCCACTAAAGATCAAGTAGACTGCAGGGGTAGAATTCACATTTGTTTTACTATCGGTTCTGTGGGCGTGGCTCAGTGGGCACGGCATGGCTTGGTGGGGCGTGGCTTGGTGGGGCGTGGCTTGGTGGGCATGGCAGGGGAAGAATACTGCAAAATCTTCCCACCCCACTCCAGGGGAAGGATATTGCAAAATCTCCATTCCCACCCCACTCTGGGGCCAGCCAGAGGTGGTATTTGCCGGTTCTCCAGACTACTCAAAATTTCCACTACTGGTTCTCCAGAACCTGTCAGAACCTACTGAATAGCACCGCTGGTAGACTGGTCCTGCACTAGCCTTCTAGAGGCCAAGTAGACCTTTCCCACCATCAGCTGCCACAGGAGAGTAAACTGCAATCAATCCAGCAGAAAGTTGTAAGTTGTTCCTGTTCCCACAGTTTTTTTGCCCAGCCCTGGTCATTCTGTTTCTCTGTTCAGGTAAGAAAATATCTCTAAAATGATGACCCAATGGGTCACAGGTTATTTAGTAAACAATATAAACATAGATAAAAAAGCTGCACAGATATATAAAGCTCTACAGCCCTCATGGTGAACCTACGGCACAGGTGGCACACGGAGCCATATCTGTGGGCACGTGAGCGTTGCCCTAGCTTAAGGTGACCAGATTTTAACATTGGTAAAGAGGGACATTGTGGGTGTGGCTTATTTTGTGGGCGTGGCTAGCTGGTCATGTGACTGGGTGGGCGTGGCTAGCTGGTCATGTGACCGGGTGGCCATAGCTATGTGTATAGGGTAAGGTGAACAGATTTTAACATTGGTAAGAAGGACACCATTGTGGGCGTGACTTATTGTGTGGGCGTGGCTTGGAGGCCATGTGACTGGGTGGGCGTGGCTAGCTGGTCATGTGACCGGGTGGCCATGGCTATGTGTATAGGGACTACTCAGAGGGCTGAAAAGTCATTTCTGACAGGTCCTCACACTTTTGACTGGTCCTCACACTTATGACCATCCTCACATTTATGCCCGCACAGTATTCTTAACAACCATGTCACTCATTTCACAACTGCTTCTCTTCACCATGATGACAAGATAGGGCAAAAATGTAAAATGTGAGGACAGTCATAAATTCGAGGACTGGTCAAAAGTGTGAGGACCAGTCAAAAATAACTTTTTCAGCCCTCTGAGTAGTCCATATGCATTAAAGGATACAGCAATAGAGAGGGATGAAGGAATGGAAATTAGAGTAGGAGTGAGGGTAAGAGAGGGAGGAAGAGAGGAGGAGAAGGAGAAAGGAAGAGGAAGTAGGGAGGAGAAAAAGAGGGTGGGGGGAAGAGAAAGTAAGAAGGAAAGAAAAGAGAGTGGTGGTAGGTTTGAGGAGAAAGATTGCTGTACAATAAAAAAGATGAAAGGGAAGAAAGCCAACCCCAAGCAAATATAAAGATATTAAGATTAAGAATGAATTGTTAAACTTTAAAGAATAAAAGAGAACAAATATGAATAAATAGCAATAATTAGAAACACACATACAAACATACAATGTATTTTCTTTGAACAGAATATTTGGCTGGTTCACAAATTTAAACAGCGTTTAGTCATTTCAATTAAATTTACAATTTCTATATTTCCTTTTTGCCATATTTATTCCTCATCTATTTTTTTAAAAAAACAATATTACCCTTCATCCTCATCTCTAATCTTAATCAAATTCAATTTTTCCCTTCTATTCTATATTATACCCCTTCCCATTGTCATCTATTTTTATATCCATCCTCACATTGGTTAATTATGTAATTATGTAATACAGTTGTTTAATACAAATTCAACATTTTAATATAAATCAATTAGTTATATAACTATTTTTTTTGTATATTAATCAATATGAACATGAATATTCCAATTATTTCCATGCAATCCAATTTCTTACAAATCAATTAATTATATTTACCAATAATAATAAACCAAATAATTTCCCCCATATATTCCTCCAAACCACAACTTAACCATTTCTGCTTTCAACACAACATACAATTATTAATAGTATCTCAATTATTACAATTCCCTAGTTAAATAGAGCTTTTTTTTCTTTTGTGTTTTAAAATCTTGAACTCTCCTCTTTTGCCCAAAATTTCCCATTGTTTGCAGTTTTGTACCTACCTTTTTTGGTGAGGAAAAAGAAAAAGAAAAAGAAAGAAATCTCTCTCTGCCTCATTTTGTCACGTTGCAGCTTTACTTTCGCTTTCGCCTTTGTTTTCAGTATAACTAGGGGGAAAAAAATCTGCTCCAGGAACTTTTTGCAGCTTTTTGCAGCTTTTTGCAGCTAATTAACCTAGTGGAAGCTGTTAACAGGGGCTGTTTTTTCTATTTTTGCAGGCATGGGTCTATTCATTTTTTTTTTAACACTGATCAGCTGTAGGTCGGCCCTTTGAAGCCCCGCGGCAAGAGTTTAAAGAGTTTTTTTTCCCTCTAGCCATCAGCGGGGATTCAGGAGGCAGCCGGGACTCAGGAGGCAGAATGAAAAATCGGGACTTTTTTAAAACGCCGCGGGACGCGGGACAAATTGCTCAAAAGCGGGACTGTCCCGCCAAAAGCGGGACATCTGGTCACCTTACCCTAGCTCATCATGCGTGTGCTAGCTAGCTGATTTTCGGGCCTTCTGGGCCCACCGGAAGTCAGAAAATGGGCTGTTTCCGGCCTCCGGAGGGCCACTGGGGGGGGAGGGGGGAAGGCTGCGTTTGCCCTCCCCAGGCTCCTAGAAAGCTTCTGGAGACTCGGGAGAGCGAAAAACAGGCCTACCAGGCTCACCGTACCATAAGCAAGGGGAGCACGGGGGGGGTGGTGCGCACATACACGGGGGGGGGGGGCATTGAATTATGAGTGTGGGCACGCGTGCGAGCGACCCCCCCTCACTTCCCCGCTTTTGGCACGCGATGGCAAAAAAGTTAGCCATCACTGCTCTACAGTATGCACCTTTTATATCTATGATATATATATCATAGGTATAAAAGGTGCATACTGTAGAGCTTTCATACCCAGCTGCTTTAATATTTTTTCCATTCTTAACTGGGGTCTGTGCCTGTCAAGCCCCTTTTAGGAGCTCCCAAGATTTTCACAGGCTCAGTTTTATTGCAGTGAGCAAGAGGTTACAGAATTGCAAAAAATGTATTATCAATCCCTTGGCCTCATTTATCACTTTATTCTCAGAGTCTTGGTTTAATGGGATGGATGCTAAACACTTATTTAATATTCCCAAAATGTTGATTGTTTGGCAGTATTTAGGGAAAAGGCACATTTTTATTCCCAGGGTCAGAAAATTCTGTCACGTCAGCAATAACCATGACTGCACACAATATTTTTGCATTGGCTAAGATAAGGCTATCAGAACTGCAAACGTTGGGGCTAGAGTTATTATTATTATTATTGTTTAGACTTCTATACCGCTTCATAGTGCTTTACAGCCCTCTCTAAGCGGTTTACAAAGTTAACATATAGCATATTGCATATTAGCATATTGCATTAGCATTAGCATATTGCCCCCAACAATCTGGGTCCTCATTTTACCCACCTCGGAAGGATGGAAGGCTGAGTCAACCTTGAACCAGTGAGATTTGATCCGCTGATCTGCTGAACTAGCAGTCAGCTGAAGTAGCTGCAGTACTGCACTCTAACCACTGTGCCACCTCGGCTCTGAGAGTTATGGGGTTCTCTATCGTTATTTATATACTAACAATTTACAGATGGTGGAATCCTTGGTTCTTTCTGAGCTTGGTTGTTTGCTTGCAGATGTTTCATTACTCAAGGGGTTAACATTATGAGTGCTCGTTGGGTAATGAAACATCTGCAAGCAAACAGCCAAAGTCAGAGGGCACCAAGGACTTCATAGTTCAACTCTGAGCTACAGATACTCTCTTCTGTTTACAGATCGTAAAATATCACCTTTCTGGTCAGATAACCGCAAGGCAGAGAGGCTTTATGTCTTTTTAGTGATGGTGAGACGATGATAGGAAAATACTCAAAGCCCTCGTACAAAAATTACCTGTTTCTTTTTGTTGCCATATAAAGGTCATAGCTGTAAAAATTCAGAGGACTGTTGGATGGCAGAAAAAAGATGCAGAAAACTCTAACCCAAATTTCTGTGTCAGATTGGGTGCCCTTATTGTAGCCAGAAAAGTGGTTTTCCTGCTATTTTGTATCATGTGGATGTTTGCAACCCAGCTATGGTAGCCCTGCATAATAGTGATGGGTTGTCCCCGGTTCGGACCGATTCTATAGAACCGATAGTAAAACTGGTGGGAGGCTCCGCCCACTGACCGTGATGTCATCAGGAAGCTTCTGCGCATGCGCAGAAGCGCGCATAGCCCCGTTGCGAACCGGTAGTAAAGGTAAGTAGAACCCACCCCTGATAAGATGTACAGGTAGTCCTTGACTTACAACAGTTCAAACTTACAATGGCACTGGAAAGGGTGACTTATGACCATTTTTCACATGACCATTGCAGCATCCCCATGGTCACATGATCAGAATTCAGATGCTTGGCAACGGACTCATATTTATGAGGGTTGCCGTGTCTCCGGGGTCATGTGATCACCTTTTATGATCTTCTGACAAGCAAAGTCAATGGGGAAACCAAATTCATTTAATAACCGTGTTACTAACTTTACAGCTGCAGTGATTCACTTAACAAGTGTGGCAAGAAAAGTCATAAAATGGAGCAAAATTCACTGAAAAACTAC